AAATGGCCTTTAGAGATTTTTTCGACGACCCTTGTGTCCTCCGCACAATTTACAGAATTTGCCAGGAGTGTTGGTGCACGAAGTGGCTTACTTTCAAAACCAAATAAATTTGAGTTAAATTCGTTACGGTTTTTGGAATCCAATTCCTAGAAAGTAAATTTTGTCGATACTATTAATGTATGTCTGTTCATAATTATCTTGGCATGTTGGAAAGTATAACGCAGTCAGTAGTGCAACTGCATTAAATAAATTTCATTTAACAACGTAAAAAAAAGTCAGGCTTAATTATTAGAAAAGGCTCTGTGTTATGTTCTAAATCATGGTTTGAATTCATTGAGCAGAGCGCGCTTATTGGAAAAGTGTGCTCCAGTAACATATTAACGTGCGTTCGTATTTTTGGATTGCTTGACAATTCGTTTCTCTTGTAGCCAAATGCCTTCCTAATTTTGTGTAGATGAGTTCAAGGGATGCTATTAAAGGCAAAAGGTCTACTAACATCCTGTTGTCAGATATTAAAAAGGAGCCTGATTATTTGTCAACACAGCCGAACGTTCCTTACCCCCGGGCATCATTTGCATCATCCTCCCGCGTAAGGAGTTGTTTGTTTATCTAAATAGTGTACACACATCTTGTATCTTCGTTGCCACATAGAGTTTTTGCATCAACTATGCCCCTCTTATTTTGCTTATACTTTGACAATCTGAACAAGCTGAGTGCATTTTTAGATGTATTTATGTTTTATATTCCCAGCAGGGACGTTATTTGATGCCCTTTCTGACTACCTATACATTTGAACACAGGTTTATTTATTGTGAATGCTCATTTGCACTCTGCGTGCATGGTATTTCCGCTAAAAGTTGGATTTATGTTTAATATCATTGTTTTCAGACTGCTGTGTCATCTGACCATGTCGCATCAGTAATGAGTAATTCATAAAATGCACATAGAACCTACTTGAATGACATGGGCAATTATTCTGTGAATTCCCTTGTTTCCTAATGTTTGTTAAGACCTTTGTCTTTGTCAACCCTTGAACCTCAGTGACAACATGCTTTGGTTTTCATTTACATCACATGATCTAAAATGAGTCGCTTTTTGTTAGAATATTGTCATTTTAACGCAAACCCAAGCCTGGAGACTATCGAAAGGAAGGCAACAGTTTATCAAAATATTCGCTCGTCATGTCGTTCTCACCCCACTTATTTTTTGGATCTAAAGAAATAGATTCCCATCTTTCATACGAAAAAAGGGTGGTGAGCCCCCTTTTTAGATCACACGAAATCGTTGACTCCATAGTTGTCGCAATTGGCATACAATTTGCTAGATCAGAATAGTCGATCAACCTTTTACCTTGTCTTAATCATGTTTTACTTAAATTTATAAAGTACGCATTTTGTTAATCATTCTGGTTGTGGTCTCGGGGCCCTGCCTACCTAGCTTTGTGCTTCAAGTCGGAATACACACTTCCATTTTTGTAGTCACTCGTTTGTATGATTACACCTCATAGTTCTGAAAATGCGCAGCACTGGTGGTTTGTGAGCACAGCCATATCGTGCTTACTCCATCCTAATTCTTTTACGATGATTCGAGGGACGCGAGTCTGGTGATAGTACTGTCCCTGCTCTTTATAGTGGGCTTGATGGACTACGCTTCCCAACCCTTTAATGTCGTCGCTACTAACGTTCACGTAGATACTACTTCGGTAAGTGCCACTTCATTTTAAAGGCAAATACTTCGACATATGATTCAATACAGGGGTTTTGTTGAACTTTGCAGCTTCGTGCAGTCACTTGCACACTGTTGATTTACACTTCACCTACTGGATGTCATATAATGAGCACTTCAGCTGTCGTCACCCCTGGCAGGTGCGGCTGTCATACTGACTGCTGTGCTAACGGTCTTGTTCGAGCTTGCACCTTAATCCACGCCTTCCCCCCCCCTGCACTTTCTGAACGTTAGCAGTAGTCTGCCTACTTTCTAGGACTCAGATAGTTATAGGTGCGTTCGCGTTCATATGCGTATCAACAAAAACTGCTTTTTTACCTGACCTTTTCGTATAGAGACTATGAACTTCAGTACTTTTACTTTTGAAACACCCAGATGGTTATTGTCGTTGGTCGAGTTCACAAAAAGGCTCTTCAAGTGGACATTCATGTACCACAACTCACTACTGCGTGTATGATCAGCGGGTTTATTGCCGAGAGACAAAAATTCAGAGAATTGTCGGAGGTTTAACAGTGGAGAGTACCAGTAGTGAAAGTAATAAAATTACATGCGAGTAGACTGTATCTTTATTGATCTTGCTGGATACCCTTTGTCTCTGACTCCCTGAACGTAGCTCAAAGTTCGAGAAATGCCGACTTTGCATGTCACATCTAAGGCGAGGCAATGATAATGGGAGAAGTTAACCATTTTGACCAAGATACCATGCCCATTTATTTCTAATTTTTGTTTTGGCTACAGACGAACTGAATCGCATGAATTCATACTGTTTTGGTTCTGGGAGATTTGGGGAGCCGTGGCCTTATCATTCGTAATAACCACCATTGCGCGCAGGCTGCCGCATATTTCCGCGCTTTTACTTTTTTAACTGTTTAACGTCATAAATATCTTACACTGGATGGTGTTTTATTCTCAGACTTGCTTCTCGAAGTTCTAAATTTTACGTGCTTCCCAGTGACGCGAAGCGCGTTCAAGTTAAGCCGGGGCTTTTGAGTTTATCTGCTAAAGTGAAGGAAAGGTTTCATTTAGTGTAAACCACATTGATATTTTGACAGTTTTTACCTGCACAACCACTTAACCAGTGCATGGAAAGCGGCTTTTGCCTAACAAGATTTACCATTGCGGCTGAACTGCTCTGGGACAGTCTGGTTGTTAGTATGGGCAAACTTTTTGACATTTAAACTGTTCGTAAATGATTGTATTGCGCTCACCAGTCCCATGGGGCAAGTTATATATCGATCAGGGGTCCAGGGTGGGTCGGGCATTCTCTCTCCCTACTGACTGTTCAAAGGAACGACTGCAATAGTGGTTGGCTGGGAACGTGTCACTACGGCCAGGGTCGTCAATGACGATTGGATATCCCTCTTTGAAGCTTTAGCATCATTTGAATGTTTTTGTGCCTATTGCACGCGCTACTACTGTTACCCGTCATCTTGACGCTGTCTGGGCTAGGACTGGCCCACGTATGGCGTGTAATAGAACACACTTGCCAGTACCATCTCAAATCAGCCTCATATTTGGTGGAACCTTACCAACTTAAGTGATGTACCCCCTTTTCATCAATGCTTGTCTGCAGACTTTTAAGGTGTCAGTAAGATGAGCTGCGATCCTAGCACAGCTAGTTGCCCGTGGGCTTGTCGTTATTTTAGCATTTCGGTGTGTTGTGTGTGGTCGTTTCCGTAGGCTAGCTTACGCATATACGCGTAGACAGTCCCACACAGTGGATCTAGCCCTCCACGCCTCATGGTCATTGCATATGGCTGGGTAGATAAACGACTTCTCATCTGTTATTTATTATTTTTTGCATAGCCAGTTAGTTCATTCCAATCACATGATCTCGTGCAGTGGAAATTCTCATAATCCACATTGCTTTAATAACTCCTTCACAGTTTTCACCGGTTTGTATGTCTCGCCAAATCTTTCGCCTTGACACTTAATTCATCGATTCACTATGGAGGAATCCTGATTTTTAACCGTGTTAACGGATTGGCTCCACCGTTATCGAAGTAGCAACTGCATCAGGGGTCGGCTAAACACGGCTTTTGCCACGTGCTTTCATCAAGGCACCATTTGATAATTTTGTTGAAACAGTAATGCGTTCGAAACCGCTCTGAAGATAAGTCACGAAAGCAGCTGCTTTTAACATACAGGGCTTAAAAAACTAGAACTAGTTTTAGGCAGAAATTACTTTCACAGAAGGAGTTCTGCGTAAAAACTTGAGAGTACTGGACACTCTCTGGAATAGCATCAGATTTCTGCCTCAGTACCTCAGCATACTTGTCGTCCCAAGCATTTCTCTTCAAGAAGGTTGTTTTGAGTAAAAAGGCAAGTTCTGCTATTAATTTTGGTGAACGTTTAATCGAGAAAGATTTGTTAAAAGAAATTTTTATTGATAGAAGAGGACCGAACCTTACAGCTACTCATATTAGTTTGAAGGGAAGTGGCGCTGTCAGCATTTGGTTTTTCAATTAACTGACTTCCAAAAGAAGCATTTTTTGTTGATAGACACTTGTTTGAAGGGGGGTGAATTTAAGGTGGGCCATGTGGTATATGGTGGAAGGGATTGCAGCTCTTACAAATACATTGCTTGGACCTGTCAAAAGGCACTTTTCGGCTGTGAGTTTAAATCTCACCATTTTTTGGATTCCACTACAGTGCATTACGTTTTTAGCATGGATTCTCACAGTCAAGTAACTTCAATATTTGAGTGCTTGTCAGCCGATTCTTTTTCTTGGATTAATACTGTCAAATCAACGGGTAGAATACATGTTTTTCAGTTTGTTGTAAGGGTTTATCCCGCTGTAAGGATACGTTTACTATTTCAATATAGAAAGTGGAAACAGTCTGTTTGGTGCAATATTGGATGACTTATGCGGTTATTTTCTTTTAAGGGCACAAGATAAGCCATTGAATGGCTTTATGCTCTTGTGAAGAAAAAAGATCTTGGGACCGCTAACAATGGGAACCTACACTTTGCAACTTTCTTCTTTTGTAAAACTGAAATTTAGGAGGCATCGCACGTTCCTCATGTATCTGCGCCCGCTTCTGCCTCCACCTCGGTGGTGGTGGCTGGGGACTCCCAATATTCGACTGCCACCAACTCCACTACTGCTAACCTCAGTGCCAGTCTCTTCGAGTCCCCGTCCAACCTCCTCCAGCAGCTGCGCACTAAATCCATGCCGGAAATGAGCTCTGTGCTAAGAGTATGCATCCAACTCTCACTCCCCTTTTCCATTGTTCAAAATAAGTAGTATAATTAGCGTTTTTTTTCTGATAGGAGAAAAGTGCCGAAGTGTGTCGTTTCTATTTGAGAAGATGAGCCTTTTAAACACTACCTAATTTTAGTGCGCAATTTTTTTAGTTATTAAAGCCTTCCTTTGCTTTACTTCTACTCTACAGGATATGAGTCTAAGTTAAACGGTAAATTCTAGTCGAGCGGAGTATTACACGTGCAGATGACAGATCTTACGAATGATCAAACTCAAGTGATCCGTAAATTTACACTCTCGGTGTCAGGGTCTCAGAAGAATATCTAGGGTTGGAGTTTAACTGTTTTACCAAGAAAATAATTATTGGCAACTTTCGTAGAATGTATCTATGAAATTTTAAATCGCTGAACTGAGCTATCCTACTGGCCGGGACGCATGCGTGACATTGAGTTATAGATGCAACCCAGTTATCGCAGGTTGATTAATGCACTGCCGGATTCAGGCAAGGAATCGGTGCGTGAAACATACGTGACGGTGGTTGTGAAAATATTTAAGTGTTTATTTAATTGATTATTGGACAAAAGCCCACCTATTTTTTGTGGTGCGAGTCAACGTGCACAAATGGCAAAGTTTGGGGCCAACGTTATCGACGGCACGTGCATTTACGCGCACGTATTAGTGCTCGGCTGTGTACAAATACCCAGTTTGACTTCCATCTTTTACTGTTTGAAATAGGTTGAGAGTTGATCCAGTTAGAACAATAAAAGTTGGTGATGCCGAAGAAATCGGGATTCTATCAATTATTTGTGCTTTCTATGCTTCGACTGTGTGTAAAGAAACCTGACATTGACCACAAATTGTAACTAGAGTACATTGCTTCCATTGAAAGCACTTAAAGGTAGCAAATTCGCATTTCAAGGTAGTGAATATTGATGGTCTGATGAAATAATATCTCCAGACAATGGAGACTACATGAACCTGCCCAAAGCCCGCGAACTTGTTTCCTGTAGCTAGGAGGCTTTGGTTGAACTTTTGCAACAGGCTTGATACCTTTCGCCGAAACATACGTATTTATAAATTTATATTTTCCATTCTTCTTGCATAGCTTGACCCCTTCGTACTTCTGGACAGGGACGACCAGGCTGCAGCGGAAGTGCAGAAGGTGAGCCACTTCAACCCTTAGGAAGGAGGTTTATGTCAGGCTTATGGACATTTCCTATGTGCTTGTTTCCACAAGCACCCATCGACTTGGTGAGCAAATGGAAATACACGAACCGCTTAAAAAGGATCGATTCGTTCCATTTGAGTATGCTTACTAAATATGATGCTGCACCTCTGAATAGTGCCTTTAGGTACAAATTCTCCTCCAAAAAATGGTCACGGATGTGGAAGCATTAATATTAAAACGACAAAGTATTTGACTGATACGTTTTCTGGCCACGTGCACTTTATTTCACCAGACAAAGATTCTTTCATCCCTCATCACTCTCAACGCACTCCAGAGCCTCAATCTCATCTCCGGTTTGCCATAGTTCTGGCTCATTTGTTCCAGCGTTGGTTGCCAGCACAGTGCGTCATTTCTTTCAAGCTTACTTATGATTGCTAGAAGAGAAGTGATTGTTGATCCAAATGAAAAGTACCGTACCTGAATTCCATTACGTCATTTCAAGTACTGATAAGTGAACGAGTTCATCTATAATAGACCCATCCACACCGACTGCGACTTTTTGTGCTGTCTCAGCAACATGTCCCTACACTGTCAGCAATCTAATTACTGAAGCCCATTCTTCGTTCTCGCGCTACTCAGTTTTGGGTACTAGACATCCGCTACTTCAACGCAGCCAATGATGAAGCCATATGACTCTACTCCAATTGTGTCGTTGCGATACCCCTGAGGTATCAGATGCGATTAGGCAAAGACGCTTCGTATTTTTCACTGGGTAGTCATGTAAAAGATTGTTGTGTTATCTAAGGTTATTCTTCTGTGTGTCTTACTACCCTGTTTAGTCCCTCGTGACCCTTCCACGTACGTTCAAATTGAAATCCAATTTTGACTTTTCAAAATGGCGATTTAATTAAGAAAGATTGGAATTAGGGTCATTGGCTAAACAGAGGATGTTTTTATTGACCTAAACCTCTATGAACTAATGCGAATCTGCAAATAGCCGCAAAAATTGGTCGAAAGGGGAAGTTTTTAGACCATTGAGGCGTGGAATAAGCCAACAAATAATTAGATTTTACGGTAAATGTTTTCGAATTTCAATAGATTTGTATTGACAAATCCTTGTGCTTTAATTCCCCTTCGTGGCTCTTTAGTTGTTACTTGGAAATGGGAATATCTGCTAATAAATCTGTTTCGACTACTTTTAGCCTAAATGCCTATTTACAGTCGTAATCTTTACAAACCCGTCAATTTCGATAAGACAATAAAATTCTCTTAAAACTGGGAGTTTTTTGGTTTCAATGCACCTAGAGTGATTGAAACGCTATTATAATTATACCCTTACTACTTTAGACCTAAGCAGATGCGGTGTTCAGGATAAAATGCGAAGTTGTATGTATAAGTGCAATGTATTGTTGCTTAAATCTTCATTTCATTATGGTTTTACTGAACTTACCCAATGTACATAACCAGATCTCCCTTTGGAGAAGAAACGTGTCCGAGTAACCGCACCAATATCCACAAACGTGTGTCTATCCCTTACCTCTAGGTATGTCCAAACCCGCAGGGCTATCACGTATGCTTGTACTGCCATCGCACGTTCTCCAGCGCCTCGCTCTACGCCAACCACATAAACAGGCCAGTGGCGCGGGTGATTTACCGTTGCCATCTCTGCTCTACGCAGCTGGACACTGGGCCTACGCCCACCGTAGTGTCGCAGCAGACTTCATCCCCCCCCTCCTCCCTCACCATCTCCACCAGCACCACCGTTGCCAGCTCTAGCAATCCCGTCTCGATGATGTCGGCATCGTCGACACTGCCCTCGCCATGTAACCTGTTGGCCCCAAACCTCTGCGCCCTCTATGTGCATATGGCTCAGTGCCACGCCAACGAGCCTGTTACGGCATGGCGACTCGTTCCCTCGCGTCTCACCATCACTGCTATTCCCTGGCTCGTCAGTGGAGCCAAAGTCGAGGGAGCCAACGGAGCCTCGCGATCCACTCCTATTCAACCACCGCTGCCGCCTTCGCTACCTCCCACCACCTACGTAGAGGGACAGGAGCTTATTGACCTCGGCAACGATCTGGATCGACGTTTGACGTAAGCCTTACTTGAGAGTAGTTTCTTCGTGCCCCTTTTTCATTGCTTTCCGCTGTTTCTCTTGACTCCAAACTCGTAAATGAAGCTACTCAGTTGGCAAACTACGGGAAGTAGATCCAAGTTGGTGCATTCAGGTAGTGTAATTTTTAATAAACATGAGCGTCTTTGGTGGGTTTTGATTTATTTTAATTCATGAGATCTTCCAGAGTTTCCGTAGCTGTTTGCTAGCAGTTAACTGCACTTTTGTCAAATACTCAATCAAATTAAAGTAGCATAAGGAATATAGTATTCGTATCCGTCCACCAAAAATTAGTTTAGTTAAAATCCGATTAGGATCTCCTTATTCGGGAAGCAGAATTGGGGTAGTTTTGATCAAAAACTACAAAACCACATTCGAAGCATTATCAGCTGACATTTTTAAGTGAAATGAGCCAAGCGAATAAGTTCATTTGAGGAGGGTGGACAATAAGTTTAAAAGTTTACAAAAGTGAAATTAACTTAGCTAAAGTTCGGGTTGATGTATCAAAATATTTGATTTAATTACAATCGTTGTTGCTTTTAGTACAAAATGATACCTTTGAAGACATTAGGGAACCGTCACTTTTGTTTCAATACGCTTCAGAAGGTTTAAATGGTGTTTGGCCCGTTGCTGAATCTTTAATGGAATCGTGTATTGCTCAGTGATTAAATTGGTTTGATAATTTCTGCCACCTTTTCACCAGCTACCCAGTTTGTAGTGCTTATGTGGCTGCCCATTAGTGCTCTAACGAACCGTACTTTCAGCCATAAGATCAAGGTGGAGAAATAACCCAAAAAAAACCTGCGAAATTGGTACTTATTGGGGTTGACGTTATAGGAATCTACTTCGAGCTGGGGAGTTCCGGTTTTCTTCCGCGAGAGTAGGCGGCATTGCAGAGGAAGGCACATTTCTTCGCGCGCCTGACGTCCGGTCGATGACCTCCATTTCAACGCGATTTGTCCCCACGCCATTGCAGCCCACCGGTCTCTCGGTTGATGGCCTCCCCCGTTCTCTTGCCTCGCCCATCAGCCACCTCCTGTTTCGTCTGGCCGAAGCCTCTATCTGGCACGGATACTTCTTCCTCGCCGGGTGGTATCCATCATTTACTGGCATCAGTGCGTTGCCTAAGCGAAAGCCCTGTTGCACTCATTAATGTATTCATCTATTATTTATCCATCCATTTATTCATAGTTCGACCCATTAACCATTCATTTATTTAGCTTCTTTATTCACACTTTTGTGGTATTAGGTATTCAAGAGACCAGTTTGCCACTGCCATGCGCAGCCAGCGTGAAACAGATCGAGCAGGCTTACAACGCCCTATTGAGGGATTCACAAACTGGCGCTCGAGGCTGCAGTAGGGAAGGAGGCGGGAGAGGGGTGTTGCGTTGCTTGCTTTGCGGCGAGTTTTGCACCAATACTGGTGCCAACTTGAGGACACACCTCAACGGTCGCGTGAGTGGTGCCGACGTCTCCCTCGCAAAATGCGCGCTCTGCGCCCTCTCGGTGGTCCACAATCGCAAGGATATGGTACTGTGCTCCATTAAGGCGCACCTCCTCTTCCATTTGGACATTTTCCTCATGTGTCCGCAATGTGGATTTACTGTAAGCCAATACCCCTCCTTCCTTCTCGTGTGCCACATCTACCATTACTGTGGCACCCGAGCTCCTGATAACGATGTTGGAAGGTGTTTTTTGGGCAAAACTTTATCATACTTAGCCTGCCAACTAAATGCCACTTACGGACACAAATGAGTCCATGTAGTTAAATGGACAATTTAAACAAATATTCTTCAATTGCATTTTCCCTTCTTTCAAGCGTCGGCCACAACGCTCACTGTGGCCATTCCTCTACACTAGCTGTCCCAATGCAGTTGGTACTTGAAAAATCATCTACGAGTCAGAAACGCATACTATACGTTGCCATTTAGCCGCTAAGGCGGTGGAGTTAGGTATCTTCTCTTTAGATAATACATGTATCTTGTAAATACCTCCATGCTGAATGCAAGATTAGAATGGTTCTCAAGAGTAGACGCGACCTCTGTAACCCCTTAAAACTACTAGGCTCTAGGCCTCCACAGCCTGTGCCATCTATGGGGTTTGGGTTTATTATGCAGCCATTAAATTCGAAATTATTGTTCACTTAGATTAGGTTTACCTACCACTGCCACCGTCTAACATTAGTTAGTGAATCTGGGCAAAGCGTCATTATAAATGTACCACTAGGGACTGGTAGACTATTGGCATAAGCGACAAAGGACTATCACCCTTCAAGGCGGTTACTCGAGAACCCATAGAGCTAAACGCATTTAAAACGGATCGTGTTGCCATATTCCCCCCATTGGGTACGCACCTTGTTAATAAAAGGGTGTCAATGTAATTTCCTGTCGGTTTTTTTAGGTTGGACCATCTTTCATTAGCATACTACTACCTTACGCCAATCACAGAAATGGTGGAAGTTTGCTGACGACATCCCATTTTTGAGTAACGCACCGTTTCAGAGAGGCAGTTGGAGCGCACTCTTTAGGACTTTTTTAAATTAATAATGCAACAGCATTTTGCATGCTTCCATGCATCGGGGAATATTTCACTGTAACGGTTTTACGCCAACTTTATTGACATGATTTGGGAGGTTTTTCTGTGATAGCGGCGGTGATCACTAGTTCAGGGAAAACATATTGCCATCTAAATTTAGATCCTACATTTTTTTTCCGCGTCATTGGCGTAGGTATGGATTGGTTCCCATTGATTTTTCACTTTCATCATTAGTAATTAATGAGGATGTCTTCAAGTTCCTCCTTTAAATGTTCCAAGTATCTTGCACGTTGATACTGCAAAAAAACTTGATCTTTGCTACGCCATATTTTTTCAAGAGAACGTTGACAGCGTTGTTACGATTGAAGCGGGAGTACTTGTTTGGTTCCCGGCTTTGAAAATGGTCAACAGTGTAAGCTGAAGCACATATTTCGCATAGATCATGTTGGGTTTAGATTACTCATTTTGATCGCTGATAAGATCATTTAAATTTTTTTATTGATGCACCTTACTTTCCTGGTTGCGCCGCAGCTCCGGAGTCTTCCCTGGAGAATCTGTGAAGTGTACGCTTCTGTACAGGTATTTGTCATAAATGCATTTAAGGACTAGTGCTCTATTAATGAAAATGAAAGATAAAAGTGCACTATGCCGTCAAGATGCTAAAAGTGCTTGTAAGACCCGAAGAGCCCCTCGGAATCAAATGTGCCACCTCGGCAAAGATCGTCACTAAAAGGTGCACGGTCGTCTCTGAAAGGTTTTTCTGCAGCTGAGCGTCCCGCCGCCATACAAATCGTGTTTGAATTATTATGTCGGAGTGAATACCCACTCATTTTATGCGGGTTTCCTGTCCACGAGAAACTCCATCGTCGCACGTCGTCTCTTGCAGGCATCAGCACTGCTGCCCGACTCCTCGATTACTTATCTGAATTGGGCTGGCCCACAGTCACGTGGTGTCTTCATTTAGTCATGACGCCGTAATTAAGTCTTCTACTACAATTAAAGTAGATATCTTTCTGCTACAGTGAAACCTATTGCTCCTTATATTATCATTATTGGCAATACCATCCCTCTCCTTTCGGACAGCCACCCCCGGATTTGACCCCTTCCCTGGCCGAGATTTGTTTGCGCCTGCACTTGCGGTTCGTCTGCTTCCACTTCAACCTGGTCAAGGTGTTACTTTGTTCGAGGGCATCCTGCAGGGAGCGGATCTTTCTTACCATGGAGAGCTTCGTGCAACACTGGTTTGAGGTACACACTGCGCGCAAGTATGCCTGTCAACTCTGCGGCAGTCTTGGTCACCAGAGGAAGATAGAGGTCGATGCCGCTGATGGTGCGTCTTCTTTTCTGCAATCTTGAGGGTCGGATGAGTCACAAAGTTATGGTCACCGAATTACAAGCGATTTAAAAAATGCTTTTTTGTGGTATTTTTGTAGGAGGACTGCTGCATTCAGTCACTTTGACTACCTTAATTAGGTTAAGTACAAATTTTTGCGAATTTTAATACCATGGAGTTCGAGTTTTCGTGTCTTAAATTAACCGCTTTTGAGCCAATAATTGTAGTGCTAGTAAATGACGTTGCTCCATAACTCTTGCTTTTTTTCGATACTCCACTGAGGTATTGTAAAAAATACTTCCATTGTCCTATTAAAACCGTATATTCTGAGACATTATCATTTAGAGGACAAAAATAAGATTTAACTTAGTCCATTAAAGACATGATTGGTCTGAGAGATCTAGGTTTTTTAACTTTTATCAATGAAACTACGCTTGGTCACTGAAAAATAAGCATTAGCACTACACCAGTACAGCAAAACGAAAATTAGCCTTTTTAATGCCTCCATTTCGAAGTTGTTGATTGTTAGGAGTAGAGTAAGGTCCTCAAATCAAAGGAGCATCTTGAGTCTACGTAAAGCGAATTATGACTCCTCACTGTCATGGCTCAATTCTTTTGTGTCGCCTTGCCGCAAAGACAAGTTCCTGTTTTAATTTGATGAGTGCAGGCAACTGTGTTCTTTGGAATGATCGATTTCTGCTTGCCTATCTTAAAAACAGGTTGCCATTCATGGTGAGGGTGCTGAGGGTCATTGATTTCAGTTTGCTTTTGACAACTTATTGAAGCTCGGCTATTTGCTCGAAAAATTACTCTACATCTTATCTGTAGGATTCAGAAGTAAATACGCCCAAACGTACTAGTTTCCTCTACTTGTTATTCCACTATTAGATCTATTACCGATGAAATGTGTGCTGTGATGCGAAATCTACCTGATCTATGCAAGAATTGGTTAGGCTGCTGCGCCATTTTAGCTAACGCGTTTGAATGGGGTCGGCGTAATGCAGTGAATCCTACCTTTGTATTACTTTATGGGCAGACGCTGTGGTTCGCCTGAACGGCCTGATCTACGATTTTTCCGACCTCGCCTCGGTGTGCATACACTTACAGGAGCGTCATTCACTATCCGCCACTTCTGCACCCACTTTTTCTCAGGTTGCCTACAAGTGTTCTGAGTGCACTTTTGTCTCCTCCGTCCCTGTCGAATTTGCCGATCATTTCTCGGTGAGACCTGTTTGCTTAACTGCCCTCTTGCCTCCTAACAAGAACTGTCTTACATTTTGAAGGTTAAATTCTCCCCTAGACTTTGTTGGTCTTTCTGATCGCAATTTTCTCTTTCACCAAAATCGTGCCATGCTTTACCCAAAACGGAATTGTACGTTAGGTGTGTGGTGCTCGTTTAGTTTCAATACTGACATCTCAAGAAGGTTTCATCCCCAGTTGCCGCAATTTTTAAGACGGCTTAACTTGTAGATGGCGTGCCGACAAGAAAATCAATTTTATATCTTTCTGATCCATTCTGCAGGTAAATGACATATGAGAAATAAATTTGCTGGTAGATATGCATCTTGTATGAGATGTATTGTGGATTTTGACAGTCCTGGAATAGTTTTCATTCTCAATTTAGTGCCATCGGGGGCAATAGCGGTGCAGCCACCCGATACATCCTTTGTATAGCTGGTAACTGCTTGACTACTAATTTCAAACGTGATTAATTGTAATGATATCATTATTGAGTCTCTTCGCACTTACTAATTAGTGGAGTGCTTACAAGTGAGGATCTTTGTGAGCATATATTATTTGTGAATGCAAATGACAGCGTCGATTTCCTGTTCAGAATTTGATGCTCTTTTCTGCAATTTTAAACGAACTTCACCCTTCACTTTTTCACTTTTGCATAATTCGTGCTATGGCGTGTGCAGACTCTTTGTTCGGATCCACAAATCCCCTTTTTTTGACCTAGTTAATACTTATCAAATTAAGTTTACCACCAAAATGCAGTTTATGTATGACCTTTATTAATGACTGCAGAGGTCCATTTAGGGTACTCTGTTTCCCTATCCTTATACAATGCTTTTGATAATAGTTTCGCTACATCCACACAGTCATCTTGATGCGCTGCACATTTCCTCACATTAACCGAACAATTGAAATAAATGTGGGGGACCCTTTTTCTTTCCCCATTCGCAGTCGGCTCATTGCCGGCTGGGTGAGGTGAGCACCATCACTGCTGCCGCTGGCGCCGCAGCTCCACAGAGTCGGCAGTCACCGTGCGAGGCTCAGTGCTTCTACCGCTGTTTTGGTGACTGCAGTCAGTTCTTACATGACATTGGGGAACTGCGAACTCACATGCGCACCTGCTCCTTCGCCATAAGCACACTCAAGCGCGCCTTCGGGGAGCAATTTCTCAACAGTACACAGGCCGCCTCTGGTTCTGTCTCTGCGTCTGCTGCTGTCACGGGCGAGGGGAAGGGCAACCCGCTCTGCTTATGCCTATACTGCGACATCAGTAGGCGCAAAACCGACCCCTTCGTTAGTGAGTTCCCTTAGGACATTTTCAGTATGCTTCGTTAAACCATAAATGTGGCACAATTACAGCTTGTAAGCTTGTGTAACATTATATTATGTAACCAAAAGTCAATGTGGTTTTTGGGGTAGGTTGCTGTAATGGCCTTTTTTGGAAATGTGGACACGTGTACAATGTTTTCGAGTGTTTATCCGTATACATTGTAAAGCATAAATGTGTATTGGTCAATATTTGCGAAATAGTTCCCTAGAAACTTCTCGTCAAGTAGCTATTAGGGATGCTTACATCCAAATCTCCTTTGGGAGGCAGAACGTCTTCGTTACTGTGCGTAATTTCATTCCTATATCGCGCGTAGTTTTTCAAGCCAATGTGCTATTTCCTTCGGTGTGTTTATCCAAATCAACACTTTATGATATGTATTTAGTATGAATTCTCCTTCCAACATGTAATGCTTGAAATGTTTGACCACTTTAAAAGTAGCGAATAGTTTTTTTTGGGTGGTCCCCTTCTGTCTGTCCACTTCGTTCGCACTTCTAGGGAGTAAAACGCCTGAAATTAGAGAAAAGTATGGTTGCGCATCTGATGTAAAGCTAGTGAGTACTGAAATCGATGCTTACTACAGCATTTTCTTTTGTTCTTTAGTGTCTTCATTGCTCTTATTTTCGTCAAAGTTTCTGCCGTTTTTTTCATAGCTTATGTGGAAGACCTGGGATCGTTGCAAGAACTTTACACAGTCCCCGTGTTAGTCCTCCAGTCACTGACAGTGGCAAAGTCTTGTTTACTTAGTAGGTTTTGGCCCGGTCTCGACCTGTTGTGTGCGGTATCCTGTAGATGAGATTCCATTTAATAAAAGGGCATATTCCAGTGACTTCAGGTGCTTCCCTCTTTGCAGGCGGAAACGATGAGGGCGAAGCTAATTCTTCCCTCGCGTCGAGGGCGTTCGACGACCTCCGGCGCCTTCACGCCCACGAACACATCGTTCACGTGACTGGAGGCGCTGCTGCCGTCGCAGTCAGCGGCCAGGTGGGTTGTCCGTGGTGCGGTGAAAAGTTGACTTTGATGCCAACCCCTGCCCCAGCCTCTATCATCACCCCTTCTGCGGCTCCATCCAACCACACTGAAGACCTCATCAACCACCTTCGCGGACACGCTACTGCTAATCCGTGAGTACTTTTCCATAGGTTATTTGCGCATCAGACGAAGTTTGCCGGATTTAGGACATGGCTAAATGAACATCTCATGGTTTAGATGATTCATTGTAGCTACTTTCGTGCCTGTCCCACCTACTGATACTGTATCCACAATACTTGTTAGTTTGGCAAATTCCACAAATCGTAAAGAAATGGTGATAAAACGACATTGATTCAAACCACTTCCAGTCAATCGTTAACATTTTAGTTCAAATAATCTAATTTCTTACTTCTAAGATCTGTGTCTAGTGCACCCATTTCCACGGAATGCGTAAAATCGGCGGATCAGATAATTGCACACCCAATGATCCTGATGTGTCTGCTTTATTTGTGACACTATAACGCCGGTTATTGAAAACTCCCAACTTAGAATGTCTTTTTGCCAAATCGCATCTGATACCTCAGGGGTATCGCAACGACACAATTGGAGTAGAGTCATATGGCTTCATCATTGGCTGCGTTGAAGTAGCGGATGTCTAGTACCCAAAACTGAGTAGCGCGAGAACGAAGAATGGGCTTCAGTAATTAGATTGCTGACAGTGTAGGGACATGTTGCTGAGACAGCACAAAAAGTCGCAGTCGGTGTGGATGGGTCTATTAGAGATGAACTCGTTCACTTATCAGTACTTGAAATGACGTAATGGAATTCAGGTACGGTACTTTTCATTTGGATCAACAATCACTTCTCTTTT